TAGTAACATATAGATAAACATGCTACATAGCATTAATTTTCATTAATAGTAATTATTTATATTTGGGACCAGGATTAAAGATAAAGTACATTTCAGCCTGTATGGGAATTCACCTCTGTGGATGGTGACTTTTCCTTGGAAGGAAAAAAGAACCCAAAGGAAGAGTATGTCATGATATACGATGAAATGTATCATAAAACAAAAAAACCTGATTTTTCTTGTTGTGGCCCAGATAGTTCTAGTTTGTTAAATGTTCTTCTCTAAGTCAGATGCAATAGTTGAGGCACTAACGATGATTGGGCCCTCCCCAAACACACACACCCACCAGCCATTCCTCTGCATGAGTCTTGTGGGAAAATAAGCCCATTAGAGATCTACTCCCTACCCTCTTCTTAGGTAACAGCCTAATAATCTTAGAGAGAGAGAGACAGACCAGTGAGAAACTGATTTTGCCCTGATAGACAGGATGGGGGCTTGAGAGAGAAGGGGTGTCTGTGTTATATGGGTACATTTAAAATAATACTGTGACATTCAGTCCTAATCTTTAGGTTTTCTTTGAAATGGAAATTGCCACAGTTGAGCCATGGTCCAGAGCAGCTGCTAAAAGCTACAATTATCCTCATAGGAAGAAAGCCCAGCCCCTGAGAATCTTCTATACTGGGTCAAGGGTGGGCTGGCTGATTGGTACCATTTGTATCTCCTCCTAATTCAAACATCCTTTGCTTTATAAATGGCTGACCTTAAAGACTACTTAATTCTGTTCTTAACATATTTTTAATGTTTATCATGCCATATGCCAGGTGTACATATGCTTTTATATGTATGGATTTATTTATCCTCATAACTACTGTGAGGAAATAGCATTATTTTCCCCACTTTACAGGTGCGATAACTAATACAGGTACCTTGATCAAGGGCACATCTCATGTAAAGTGCACAGCTGAAGTTTGAACCCTGGTAATCTTGCTCCCTAACACTCTGTCTCAACCATCAAGTGCAACCGATGTAGTATGCTCTTAATTACTCAAAGTAGCCCATGGAAACTATTCTGCAATCATTACATGTTTGCATAATGTTATGTATATATAGATATCAATATAATTTGCATAGAAGTGTAATTTATATTTTTGCAAATATATAACTTATAGATATAATTTGCATATAAATTTGTACATGTAATCATAAACATATTTTAATTTTATTTTTATTTATTTACTTTTTAAATATTTATTTTATTGATTTCAGAGAGGCAGAGAAAAGGAGAGAGAGAGATAGAAACATCAATGAGAGAGAAACATCCATGGGCTGCCTCCTGCACACCCCCTCCTGGGGATCGAGCCCGCAACCCAGGCATGTGTTCTGGCTGGGAATCGAATTGTGACCCCCTGGTTCATGGATTGATGCTCAAGCACTGACCCACACCAGTGAGGCCATATATTTATATATACATATATATGTGGTAATTTGCATATAGAAGGGGGTCTGGAATTAAATAACTGGTTATTTTGGGGCAAGAGTATTGCTGTTTATTGTATTCATCTGTTTGCTTTATAATAAACAGATAATGGTTTGCAACTAATTTTCTTAATGAAAATAAAAAAGATTTGTTTTCCTTTATTTAGGACATTTAAAGGCTTGCATTGACTGAGTCCCTGCCTGCTCCGTACAGGAGTACACAAAGCCCATGCAGACCTGGGTCTGGAGCAGCACCTGGCTGGCTAGTTACCATAACTGGTTTAGTTTCTTCTCTAGAAAGGAGAGTGGAGGCTTCCAATGCATGCATTACTATATCGCCCCCAGGACACCTCTCCAACCAGCATCCTCTTAGAATTGGCTCCACTTTATCTTTGTGATGTCAGCTCTTTTTCAGGGAATCCCCAGATAAACTAGAACCATGCGCTCCACATTTCACCCAGCGCTGTGGGCCTCAAAACTGCCTCAGCTCCAGGGAATGAGGAGCCTGTTCCCTGGAGAGCTGTCTGTTTAGTGCTGTAAGAGTAAGATTCAGGGGTCCTTTTCAACCGTGATGGGGGAGAGTTTAGCCTTTCTGTTTCAATAGGCCCCGCGCCCTGATCCTCAGCGCCTCACAGTTACTGGGCCTTGTGGCTCTGCAAGCCACTCACTACTCAGGCAGACTATAGAGTCAAAGCCACTTGGCTTCTTTTTCTTAGTTTTCCCCTCTGTTAAATGGAAATATGTAAGAATAGGATGTACCCCACTCCAAACTTAGCCCAATTCCAAAGCAATGTGGCGAAGAGAACCAGCATTTATTACTTGTAGCTCATGTATAAATGGGGAGCACTGAGAACTCTCCACACAGAGCCAAGCGGCCTGCATCAGTCCTGGGAGAGGAATCCGCGGTGTTCTTATGAGTGGCCAGGACAAAGGTGGGCCACAGCCCAGTCTCAGGACTCCCGGGAGAAAGGTACAGACTGCTTTTTGAGAAGGGAGAGCCAAGGGATGTTTACCTCCCTGTTTCTCCACAGGGACTGCTCCAGAAATGAACTTTGCCAGGTGAGAGCAGTGGGCAACCATAGGGCCATCCATGCCCAGTAGAACCAAAGCCCTGGCAAGAGGTCTGGCTCTACAGGGAGATCAAGGCAGGGCCTGTCCCAAACCAGATGCTGAAAGCCCTTTTGTTAGCGGGAGTGGCTCTGGGAAGGGCACCCCAAAACAAACATGCACACAACACACACACACTATCAGCCCCGTGGCTCAGTGCGGCCTACAGTGGGTTGCTACTGAGATTTTAGGGCCACTTCCTCCAGGTGCTGCTGTGCCCAGAGCCACACCACTGAGCCTGACACCATGTCCCATGCCAGCAAAAGCAGATTTACTGCAGAAGCTCCTTTCGCGGCATTAATCTTCACCGCCACCAGGGGCAGCAGTGCGGTACACAGGCCGCCTGCAGATCCTGCGGTTCAGTTCCAGCCGCCGCAATAAAGCAAATACTGCAATAAAGGAAGTCACACACTTTTGTTGTTGTTTCCCAGTGCATATAAAAGTTATGTTTATACTATACTGTAGTCTATTAAGTTTACAGTAGCAATAGACTCTACTTTTCATATGCTTTCTCTTTCTCCCTCCATTTTTTTTTAGCGGTCCTATATTTGAATTTTCAGAGCATATAATGTTAAATGTGATTCTGCCATCTTCGTCGCCATTATTTAGTCTGAATGCGATGGTGGGACATATGGAAACACTCCTTGTCATGCTGTGTGGCGACGCTTTTCCTGTGTCCTGGTGTGGTTTCTTTCCTTTGTGTTGATGCTCATTGCCTAGTAGGTTGCCCAGGAAGCCATCATGGGAATGATATTCCCTGAGTTCTTGCAAGTTCTTTGCTCTTCCTCTTTGGCATTTATGTCAAAAAGTCAGTTTGGATGGATATAAAATCACTCTGTCTTCAGCAGGGCAAACTTACCTTCCACTCCTTACTATTCTAGCTCTAATTCTGGGGTTTTGTCTTGTATATTAGTTTTCTGTTGCTACTGTAACAAATTAACATAAACTTAATGTCCTCAAACAACAAAATTTTATTCCTTTGCAGCTCTGGAGGTCAGAAGTCTAAAAATAAAGATGCTGGAAGGGCTGTGTTCCTTCTGGAAACTCTGGGAGAAAATTTGTTTCCCTGCCTTTTCCAGTTTTAGAGGCCATCTCGCCTGCCTTCCTTGGTTCATAGTATATTGTTCCAACCCCGGGCTCCATCATCCCATCTCCTTTCTTACAAGGACCCATATGATTACATCAGGCCCATCCAGATAATCCAGAATAATCTCACTCTCAAGAGCCTTGACTTAATCACATTTGCAAAGTCCCTTTTGCCACATAAGATAAAATATCCACAGGTTCCTTGGAGTAGGACATGGACATCTTTAGGGGCTGTTATTCAGCCAAACATGTCTTGTTTTCTCCTTGGATATCCCCCTTACTTCCTGAAAAACAGTAATGCAATGAAAAATATGCATTATGCAGAATCTAGTTATTTGGCTGTGGGAGGCCCTTCAGAGGATCTGAGTATCTGTCAGAAGCAGAAGACTCCTTACAATTTTCATAGGCTCCACTCAAACCTCTGGACTCAGCATCTTTAGGGTTAGGTTTATAAACCTGTATTTTAAAAGCTACTCCTGAGGTAATTCTTACAATAAGCCAGAACTGAGAGGCTCTACTCCATAACTTGTTCATATCCAGAGGGTGAGACATCATGACAGGTCAGGGCTGACATGGATGGGGAGGTGGGGAGGGAAGCTCAGGGGCTCTGGCTCCTGGTTCAGTTCCTGGTGACACACCTTTTCTGTCCCCTACACAGTCCCTGCAGTCTTATTCCACCTATTGGTAACTTTAAGTCAGCCTTCCTATGTGACCTTACAGGTGAACAGAGACTGAACACTCTAGAATTAGAGGCCATGAAAGACTGAGAGTAGCTTTACCTACCTAAATCCTACTTGTCCTTTAAGGGCACTACACAAAAAGGCTCTTCTGCTTGAAACCTTCCCTGGTCCATCACTGCCGCCAAGTATAAAAGTATGGTATCTTCTCTCTTTGACTCTTTATAACTCTTAGAATCTCATGCAGTATTTTCTCAACTGGATGCTCTTCAAGGGCAGGGACCATGTCCAGCTCATCGTCACAGCCCTGTGACCCATAGCCTATCATGTCAATAGTGATTGAAGGGGACAGGGAGCCCAGTTGTTTATACAGGTTTTATTGATGCATTAGGGTAGATGGGGCAGTGGACAGATGCCAGGGAGAAAAGTAGCTCTGAGAAACCCCACAAGCTGAGGAATATTCGGTGGAAGGGATGACTTGCTCTTGTCTTCTGCTGCTGAGAGGGTCTGCACAGCAGAGCCAGCAAGAGAGAAGAGTTTAGGATAGAAAGCACCTTGCAGAAATGGCCTCACTGAGAAAGACCCAAGAGAGAAGCATCGTGATGAAGGTCTGACGTCCAGGGCTGTGCCAGCTGGACTGGCCAAGGCAGGACAAGCCAACACCTCTCCAGCTGTCGTCTTCTGGTATTAAGCACTGCAGTCCAGGGTGGGGACACTCATGGCTTGTTGCTTGTGAAGTAGGAATACAGCCCCCTGGCTGTGAGGCCTGGCTTCCCTTCTGGCTGGGCTGCCTGCCGGCCCTGCCCTGAAGGCCCGCTGGCATGCAGGCTGCCCTAGTCCTGACTCCGAAACACTGTCTCCCTTGCCTGGTCATCAACCCACTCCTCCTTAACCACCATGGGCTCTCTTTCTCCCTGCCCTCCTGTCACACTGCTCCCTGTGTGACTGCTGCTGGAGTCCTGTCTGCCTGTCACAGTGCTGGTCCCAGCCTGGTTCTGTCCTCCTGGTATTGTCTCTTCTGCCTCATGGCTGCTCTCATGTGTCCATCCTTGACCACTGCCTGACTGCCCCTGGGTCTGTCCCTGTTCTCTAGCCCCTATCTGGCTTGGAGTCTGGCTCCTGCCCTGCTCTACAGTCTGGGTGTGTGACTCTGGACATATCTGAATGTGTCCTCCTGTTGCTACCTGGCTCATCTGGTTCCTGTCTTGACTGTGGGTCTCAGTCACTCTGGTCTGGCCATAGGTGGGCTCCTGTGGCTGGGTGCTGGTGCTGCCTGTCTGATGGCTCCTGCCCTGCTGTGTGGTCTGGGTGTGTGACCATGGACGTGTCTGAATGTGTCCTCCTGTTGCTACCTGGCTCATCTGGCTCCTGTCTTGACTGTGGGTCTCAGTCACTCTGGTCTGGCCATAGATGGATTCCTGTGGCTGGGTGCTGGTGCTGCCTGTCTGATGGCTCCTGCCCTGCTCTACAGTCTGGGTGTGTGACTCTGGACATATCTGAATGTGCCCTCCTGTTGCTACCTGGCTCATCTGGTTCCTGTCTTGACTGTGGGTCTCAGTCACTCTGGTCTGGCCATAGGTGGGCTCCTGTGGCTGGGTGCTGGTGCTGCCTGTCTGATGGCTCCTGCCCTGCTGTGTGGTCTGGGTGTGTGACCATGGACGTGTCTGAATGTGTCCTCCTGTTGCTACCTGGCTCATCTGGCTCCTGTCTTGACTGTGGGTCTCAGTCACTCTGGTCTGGCCATAGATGGATTCCTGTGGCTGGGTGCTGGTGCTGCCTGTCTGATGGCTCCTGCCCTGCTCTACAGTCTGGGTGTGTGACTCTGGACATATCTGAATGTGCCCTCCTGTTGCTACCTGGCTCATCTGGTTCCTGTCTTGACTGTGGGTCTCAGTCACTCTGGTCTGGCCATAGGTGGGCTCCCGTGGCTGGGTGCTGGTGCTGCCTGTCTGATGGCTCCTGCCCTGCTGTGTGGTCTGGGTGTGTGACCATGGACGTGTCTGAATGTGCCCTCCTGTTGCTACCTGACTCATCTGGCTCCTGTCTTGACTATGGGTGTCAGTCACTCTGGTCTGGCCATAGGTGGGCTCCTGTGGCTGGGTGCTGGTGCTGCCTGTCTGATGGCTCCTGCCCTGCTGTGTGGTCTGGGTGTGTGACCATGGACGTGTCTGAATGTGTCCTCCTGTTGCTACCTGGCTCATCTGGCTCCTGTCTTGACTGTGGGTCTCAGTCACTCTGGTCTGGCCATAGATGGATTCCTGTGGCTGGGTGCTGGTGCTGCCTGTCTGATGGCTCCTGCCCTGCTCTACAGTCTGGGTGTGTGACTCTGGACATATCTGAATGTGCCCTCCTGTTGCTACCTGGCTCATCTGGTTCCTGTCTTGACTGTGGGTCTCAGTCACTCTGGTCTGGCCATAGGTGGGCTCCCGTGGCTGGGTGCTGGTGCTGCCTGTCTGATGGCTCCTGCCCTGCTGTGTGGTCTGGGTGTGTGACCATGGACGTGTCTGAATGTGCCCTCCTGTTGCTACCTGACTCATCTGGCTCCTGTCTTGACTATGGGTGTCAGTCACTCTGGTCTGGCCATAGGTGGGCTCCTGTGGCTGGGTGCTGGTGCTGCCTGTCTGATGGCTCCTGCCCTGCTGTGTGGTCTGGGTGTGTGACCATGGACGTGTCTGAATGTGTCCTCCTGTTGCTACCTGGCTCATCTGGTTCCTGTCTTGACTGTGGGTCTCAGTCACTCTGGTCTGGCCATAGGTGGGCTCCTGTGGCTGGGTGCTGGTGCTGCCTGTCTGATGGCTCCTGCCCTGCTGTGTGGTCTGGGTGTGTGACCATGGACGTGTCTGAATGTGTCCTCCTGTTGCTACCTGGCTCATCTGGCTCCTGTCTTGACTGTGGGTCTCAGTCACTCTGGTCTGGCCATAGATGGATTCCTGTGGCTGGGTGCTGGTGCTGCCTGTCTGATGGCTCCTGCCCTGCTCTACAGTCTGGGTGTGTGACTCTGGACATATCTGAATGTGCCCTCCTGTTGCTACCTGGCTCATCTGGTTCCTGTCTTGACTGTGGGTCTCAGTCACTCTGGTCTGGCCATAGGTGGGCTCCCGTGGCTGGGTGCTGGTGCTGCCTGTCTGATGGCTCCTGCCCTGCTGTGTGGTCTGGGTGTGTGACCATGGACGTGTCTGAATGTGTCCTCCTGTTGCTACCTGGCTCATCTGGCTCCTGTCTTGACTGTGGGTCTCAGTCACTCTGGTCTGGCCATAGGTGGGCTCCCGTGGCTGGGTGCTGGTGCTGCCTGTCTGATGGCTCCTGCTCTGCTCCATGGCTTGGGTGGTACCTGTCTGGGTCTGAGTTACGGTTCTAGTAACAGTCTCACTCGTCTGGTGGGATCTGTTCTGTTCCCTAGTCTGCGGCTGTCTCTCTGACACCCTCCCTCTGGTCTGATGACTCTGGTCTTCTTCCACTCTCTGGCTTGGCTCCACATGCTTCCCTGCTTGTGTCTGCTGGCTCTCTCTCTCCTGTCTCTGGGACTCGTGCTGCCTGTCATGACTGACCTGAGACGAGCTGATGTCCTGACCCTGGGTCTGAGCCCCAGTGCCGCCCTGCCCTCTGGAAGCTGGCCTGTTCTGTCCACCACTGCTCCCCTCACTGCGCTGTCCTTCCCCAACACTTCCCACTCCTGTGACACTTCTCTGTGCTTCTCCCAGCTCTGACGGGGCCCCAGCGGGGCGGCTTCCAGACTCTTGAGGTCCACAAGCTCCCTCAGGACTCTCACTCAGTGACTTAAAACAGGCCTGTGCCACTTTAAACACCAAGACCAGGAACTCCTTGAATTCTACTGTCCCCGTGTGGTCTTCATCCAGCAGGCGCAGGACTTCGTCCACAGTGGCCGGGTCGTGGGGTTTCTGGGGAGAAGGTGAGCAAAGTCAGCAGCCCTCCCCCAAGGAGGACGTGATTCGGCTGCTCCGCTCAGCTCCCAGGGTCCTACCCCCGGGCTGGGGCCCACCCACTCTGCGCCCCTTCCTCCCTCCCCCCACTCTGAGAGCAGCAGGAACACAAAATCACTTTCACTTTTCAATCCTGTCGCTCTCCCTCATGGGTAGGACGCACCTTCTACTTTGCATCCTCTGTGTCTGGCACAATTTCTGGCCCGTGGGAGAGCTGGGCAAAGATTTCATGAAGGATGAATGAGTGGTGGCACTCATAGTGATCCTCTGGGCTGTCCTCTGGCCCTGGCCTCGACACCGGGGCCATACTCTCACCAGCAAGCCCAACACCAAGAGAAAAACAGTGGGAACCTGGCCCCATGGGAATTCCGTGAGAGCCTCACTGAGGTTTGAGTGTTTTCCTGGCATAGGGTGGATGGGAGGTCCCTGGGGGACCACAGGTTGCCCTGAGCATGTAGAAGCAGCACCCAGATACGCCCACACGTTCCTGTCCTCAAGACCTTCACTATTCTGGAGCTTTAGCTGTGAACCAAAGGCAGGAAGAGGCAGGACGTGCATCAGGCCCTGGGTCTGGTTTGCTCTCCAGAACCTCATTGCTCACCTGAGCTCTCAGCAATGTTTTTGAGCCACTGCTTTGTACAAGGCAAGGAGCTGTGCTTCTCATGAATGCTTATTGATGGATGACTAAATCTCTGACAGATGGAGGAAATGGTCACTGTAGCAGATTTAAGAAGCAGCCATTATTTTTATTTCTAGAATCTTCCAAGGCTGTGTTTCTCTCTGAGCTGTCCAGTTAGAATCTGTTTACCTGGTCTCCCAATTAGAATCAACAGGAGTCAAGGTATTTTCTCTAAGGACCGAGTTTGTCAACTCCAGTGACTATCCCTTGTTCCTTTCTGCTTCTCTGCCTGCTCAGGAGTTCCCTCCTCAGATCCCTGAGGCAAAGCTCTGGTCTGCAGGCAAAGCATTTTCTCTCTCCCCTGAGCCCTTCCCCATCTGGCTGCCCCCTCTCCCCCCACATACCACGATGACATCAGCAAACTCCTGCTCCAGGAGCCGTTTCAGCTCCCCCCGGGTGAGCACCTCACAGTTGCCCTCGATCCTGGCGTAGCGTTGGAAGGCATCGATGATCCCATTAATGTTTCTCAGTAACTGAGGCATCTTGGTGGTCAAGCTGGAGAAAGAAGAAAAGGCCCCTTGGAGCTCCTGAGTCAGCTCACCATTTACCATCAGGTGAGCTAGGGCAGGTTGCTTTTCCTCTCGTGCCTCAGTTTACTCATTGTGAAATGAGGGCAATACTAGTATTTACTTTAGAGGATTACTCTGAAGACTGAAAGAGCACTTGATGGATGCTGGCCTATATGAAACGCTACCTATTGAATATCATTATTACACACAGATTTGCATACATCTGTATATACTCTACTGCTCACGAAGCACTTTCATATGCGTCATCTCTAGCAGTCCTTATTGTCTCCACCTTTTCATAGGCGAGGAAGCAGACCAAGAAGTTGGGTGATTTTCCCAAGGCCACACAGCTTGTAAGGGATCAGGGAACCCTAGAACCCACATCTCCTGAACGCAAATGCAATGACCTTCTAGACTCTGCCCTCTGGACAGTCTACCCAGTCTATCTCTCCCTGTCACAAGCTGTTAGAGTCCTGCTGGCAACACCAACAGCCAGGAAGTCTGTATGTGAGTCAACTCCTGCTTCAGGTAGGGGCCAGGCAAGAACCCAGGGGCCCAACTCTACCCTTCCTTGCTGCCCTTTAGGAAGGTGTTCAGGAAGAGGCTGGGCCACCACCTGTCGGGACTGCTGAGGGAGGGGGTGCTCTCCCTGGGTGGGAGGTCTGCCAGTTCTGAGAGCCTGGGTTTCTCTGGATGTGAGCTCTGTCCTCAGCGCTGGGACCTGTCAGCCTGCTCAGAGGTATGTGGCTCCTTCAAGCCCGTAGCCCTGGTGGCCTGTGAGGAAGAGTTCCCAATTGAAGGGAGAAATTTATTTTTCACCAGCCAGGGGGCTGGGCTCAGGTTGAAGTGAGTTTTGGGTGTGGCTGGATGGGCAAGAGGCAGAAAGACCTGGAGGTGCAGAAGCAGAAGCCTCAGGGAGGCCAGAGGGAGGAGAGGGTGTCTGAGGTGGCAGGGTTCAGGTGCAGGGGGAGATGGACGGCTGCCAAAGCGGGTGAGAGAGGGGCACAGCGGAGATGGAAAGGAGAGGGTGCAGGGAGGGGAGGGCCTGGCTGGAGCAGCAGGAGAGTGGAGGGAGGAAGGAGACCTGGTGGCTCTTCAGGAAGTACCCAATCTTTCTACAATCAGGTAGCCAAAAATTTCAGCCGGACTTTGTTTTCTGGTGTACATTGAAATACATAACTCAGAATATTACACCTCAACAGACACGAAAAGATCCCGATTATTGTTTTTAGCCACGTGGCAGACCTTAACCACTGACCTATAAGCAGTAAAAATGAGGTGACCTCATAATTTAGTTACACTTCAGATCCTTTACAATAAATCCACAAACTCATCTTGCCTAAGTATCGCCCTGGGGTGGGGGAGGGCCGCCACCTAAGCCCCTTGCTCCCTGAGAAGGTTCAACCCCATTGTCTGGGTTGGCAGAAGTAACCTGATTCTGGCCTCACAAACCCTGAGCATTGCCAACAAGCTTCCAGAACCTTAAGAACAAGGGACCTTGGCTGATCCAGGAGGGCATGTGGGTGGTTCCTTTGCTGCTGCCTGGCCAGCGGGGGAGGGGGACAGTGCCCTTTCCCGCGTGCACTGGGTCGCCTGAGGCCCAGCCAGAGCGGACACTTCCTGCCCACAGCCCTGGTTTTATGAGGTCAGATCCCCAAGATGCTGAGAGTGAGAACGAGGTTCCCCAGGAAGGCACTTACCTAATCACAGGCAGAATGAGGCAAGTGGCTGCTAAGCGGTGTGTGCAGTGCCAGGGCAGCGGGCAGGAGTCTTTTATAGGGAATTTAATTGACTTAGCATTAGTGTTTGGACAAGATGCCCCGCCCCATCGAAAGGCTTGATTCACCCCAGGCTCAGCTGAACCCCACCTTTTTTCTGTTTCACCTGCTAAGACGTGGCTGTGTTGGCCTGATGCTCTCACCCCTCCTACCACGCGTGGAGCCCTCTCTCAGTCCTCACCTCCCCTGCCCATGTGATGGGCTCAGCAGTGCTCAGCACGGGTGGGGTTCCTGGTGAACATTCTTGGTCTCTGTGTGACTGCAGAGTCATGGGGCCTTTTTTTTTTTTTAAATACAAACATTCAAGAACATATTCATCTATTGAGGATTATCTTACTCAAAGTGGTTGCTTTGGGAGGCTATACATGTTTTTCTGGCAATGCTGTCATTACTTAGAACATTCTTGGAATTCTTGTTTTCAAATTGCTGTTTATACCCAGATATGAGACATGTAAGGAATCCAATCTCATTTTTCTATAGTTTGGTTTCATATTTGATTAAAACAAAGACAGTTAATACCTTCCCCCTCTCCCCATCCTATGGGTAGGGAGCTTTTTACAGCTGGTGAGAAAAGAAGCTTAAGATGATTCTGTGCAGCCCTTCATTGCAAAGACAGGAAACTGAATTGGTAGACTGACTAGCAGATATTTGTGGAGATCCTGCTTAATTTCAGACATAGGGCAAAGGCCAGAATTGAACAAGAGCAGTTTCAAAGCAGTAATTTAAACTCTGACAGAGCTTACAGTTTGACCATCCCAGAGAAAGCCCCTAGAGGATAACGGTGATAGTAATTATCATCTGACTTGATTCGACCTTCAGTACCGTCTCGTTTTGTTGGATGCTCACAACAATCCTGAGAGGTGGGTGGTATGGCTGAGCCCCATAAGCGAGGACACTGAGAAATCCTCAGAGAAGTGGCCACTCAGTGGAGAAGGGACACAGGGCTGGACCATCCAACTGTGAGCTATGTGCTTAGAACATCCAGAAATGCTTGGAAACAAAGGGAAAGTAAGTTAGGGAATTAACAAGCCAGATGCTGTAACTATGAGGTAGGTATCATTACATCCAGTTTACAGATGAGGAAACTGAGGTGCAGAGGGATTAAGTAAACTACCCAAAGCCACATACCCAGAAAAGTGAAAGACCTGAATTTGGGCCTGGGTCTGCCTGCCTCCGAAGCCTGTGTCTTTCCATGTGCCTGGGGCAGGTGTGAGCGTGGGGTGGGGGCTGTGAATAGCTGTGGCTCCACAGGAGCAGAGAGAGGTAAATGTGGCGTCTGTGTGTACTGGGCGGAGGGGGCTCCCTGCAGAGGGTGGCTGGCGCTCAGGGGAATGCGGAGGTAGAGTGACTGGGACTGGCAGTCTCTAACTGAGTGTAAATCTGATCGTTTGTGAAGTTTGAAATGAGTTGTTACAAACGAGTGACTTTACTCTGGGCAGACAGAGGCCACCCCTGTCAGGAGCTGAATCAAACTCTTGTCTTCTGTTCACGCTGCCTTTTAGGACACAGAAACATCTCAAAGAACCAAACTTGTTTTTGTACTTTGATTACTTCTTACACGATTACTGAGAAATCCATTGTTGGTCTCTACTTGATTCATTTCTACGCATGTCTGACAGCTGGTATTTGCTACACGTGGTGGCTACAGATAAAGACTAAGATGCTGCTTTCCAGGAAATCACCCAGAATAATTTTCTGATGACGGAAGACAGAATTTTTGTAAAATGTTAAATAAAATTGGCTGCTCACCAGACACCTTCGCCTTCACCTGGGAGCAGGGGTCTGGCAGTGGGGAGTGAACAGAGGGTGACCATTCAAGTCTCCCCTGAAAAAGCAGAAGATGGGAAAATTCCATAATCCTGGGCTTCCTACTTAAAAAAGAACAAAAGCAAGTCTGAAAGCCAGAGAGCTGTGCCTGCAGTTCTTTGGGTAATGAGAAAATTTACGTGTCCACTCACGGCCCACACATCCTGACCGAGGGACAAGGGACAGGCATGGTTCTTAGAGAGAAAAAGAACAGAGGACAGTTTCTCAGCCTCCCTATGTTCTCTGTGCTCTAACTGGAGCCTCTTCTCCCAAACATACCCTACCTGGGCCCTGGTCAGAGCCTTCCGGAAGCCCAGATGCTCAAGCTCAGCCCTGGAAATCAGGATTAGGCAGATACCAGAGACATCCGTGTTGACAGTTTCCAGTGACTTAGTGAATATCTATTAGACGTTCTGGGCCTAATCCCCAGCCGGGCAGGTCGTGTTGGCCCCGCTGTTTCTCGGAGTCCCCATCCAGGCAGGGAGCATGTGACTAACATGATTGTTAGCCTCCTTGGTTTGGCCAGGAAAGCTGGAAGCTGCCATTTGAAAGGGAGTCTGAATTTCCCAGATCTAAGTGTCCAACCCATAGGCAGAGCTCCTAGAGCAATCAAACTGGAAGGGTCCCACCTCCTCATCGGGAGAAAGAAGGAACATCTTGGCAGGAGCAGTGGGAGGGGGCAGTGCTTCCTTCTGCCGCTTCACCGGTGTTGCTGCTCAGAAGTCCATGAAGTTTTAGCGATAGCAAAGGTTTGCTGGCTTAAGTGTAATGGGAACGTACACTTCCTGCTATGCCCTATTACTATCATCATCTCTGGTAAAAAGTACAGACCTCTCATTCCCCCACACTCCCAGCTCACGCTGCCTTCTTGCCCCCTCTGAGCCCTCTTTCCAAACCCGAATGCTTTTCTCTCCACCTCCTCTATCCAATCAGGACAACGCAAACACCACTGATTCCCTAACGTAATTTCAGATTGTCCCAACCAGATGAGAGCACTCTTCAGTGCCTTCGCTTGACCTCAGTAGTCTTTTGTTGATGCATCTTTTAGAGCGTTTATTTTACTCTGCCATCCTTAGCATTGCTTGTCTCTTTGCTTAAACCTTTCTTGATTATGCCCCTCTTAGAGATCAGACTGGCTTGGAGTCAGTGTGTGAAGACTTGATGTGGAAGCCCTGCTGTTCTTTCGGAGGACACTGCTTTCCTCTGAAACCATGAGGCTGGCTGAATTGTCCCTGCACCATGACTGGCCTCCTATTCCATCTCACTAGAGTTTCTGGGCTTCATCCCTGTGCTCCTGGGGAGAGAGTGGGATAGTTCAACATCCAAGGTGAATGGGGTTCCCAGAACCAAATGGGGAAAAGCTCCATTGCAGCACTAGTCAGGACAAAC